CTCCTCCTCCTCCTCCTCCTCCTCTTCCTTCCATCCTATGCCTCTCTGTCCTTTTAAAGTGATCCCTGCCTTTGAAGACCAGAACAGGGTGGAGTCTGAAAGGCCTGCTGTATGTCAGGCTCAAGTGGGTCTGGCGGTGCATGCCTGTGACCTCAGCACTTGGGAAGCAGAGGCTGGGGGGTCACCTTAGAGTTACAGCCAGCCTGGGCTACACATCGAGGCCCTGTCTCTAAGTAAATAAATACTGATCCCCCCTGCCTCCCCCCAAAAAAACATACTTTATTTCAGTTCTAAATAAAAATAGGTTTGGAAAATGGTCCAAATTTGGAACATGGCTATTTGGTGATGATGTGTTGAAAAATATCAGTGTGCATGGTGATGGGCCCTTGAAACTTCTGCAGCCACAGTGGGGTAGAGGATGGACATGTGCACAGATGTGGGACCCTGGGGACCGTAAACTTCGTAGGATTGACTGTTACTGTTTGCTTGGAAACATTAGTGGTTGTCAAGTGTTACCGGTTGTTTTTTTGAAATACACCTCGGCCCACGAGGTCACAACTGCGGCCTCCTCGTGCTGCTCCATTGGTTCTCAGACGCCCCCAGGGCCACTGTCCACCCGGCCTGGCCCAGCCCAGGAGCTGCCCTGCCCCTAGAAGGTGTCACTGGGATGTACTTTTCCTAGGTTCTTTGCGATTTTGGGCGACTTCACCTACTCCTGGGCTTTCTTGGAAGCCACTTAGCATTGGTATAAGGAGAGTTTCGTAGGACAGTTTTGGCCTAGAGGCGGGCAAGAGGCCCAGTTGCACCAGTGGGTCTGTGTGGAGGGTTTGGTTGGAGTAGGTAGAAGGTGTGCACAGGGGTTGACTGCACTCTTCTCTGCCAGCCTCTGGCCGCATGGTGCGCCTACAATCCCAGCAGTGTGAGGGCCAAAGCCAGTGCCCAACCTAGATGACTGAGACCCTTCTGCAAAATAAAATCCTTTGAAAGGGGCAGGGACATAGTTTAGTGCAGAGGCCCTCTGTTCCAGCCCCAGTACCAGGGAAAATAAAACCATATCCCAGGCATGGAGAAGCTTAAAAGCACCTCTGGGCTGCTACCCAGCGCCACACTACTGGGTGCCATGCCAGGACCCTGGGCCGTGTTCCTGATCCAAAGAGGGCAGTGTGGGGCTGAGCCCATTGCCTGGAGCGTGGAGCTGCCAGCTGAACTCAGTGCGCTGTCACAGCGGGAGGCTCATGCCAGACACAGAGCAGCTTCTTCAGGGGAGGAACCCCTGCTGCCTGGGGGCTCTGGGCCCCTGCCCGCCTGGTCCCGACACCCAGGCTTCCATGGCACTGGAGCTGCTCACTTCCATTGCTGTCAGCATTCGTGTGTGTTCCACCCTAGCACTATGTTTCCTCCATGACCCTCCACCCGGTCGAGGAGACAGACGGGATCAGGAGGGCTGCGTCCTGGTGGGATGCCGCTCCTGTGCCTCCTGTCCCTACCACCTGGCCTTGTGTGGGTCTCATCTCTGCCTGCCCTTTGTGGAAGCCAGTGATGAGGGGAGCCCTGCACTTAGAGAAGTCCAGGTGTGCAGGCTTGGGCACAATGGCAACCAAGGAGAGGGGCACCTGCGCTTTGCTTTGGTGGTGATGGTCGCCTCTGAGACTCGCTCTGCCTGGGCTGCGTCAGCTCTCTGGGTAGCTGGGCTGGCTTCGAACTCACGCAGTCCTCCTGCCTCAGCCTCCCAAGTGCTGGGATGCCAGGTGCGCCAGCATGCCATGTCCAACTCAGCTGTTCTTCCAGGTCCGCTGTGGCACCGTCATCTTCAGGAAGGGCCAAAGTCAGGCTACATCGCATTTGGGGTGTCATCTCATGTCACAGCCCTATGCTGTTCCTTGTGAGTGGGGCCCCACAGCTCACGGCGCCCCTTGTGTTCTCAGCCTCAGGGCTATCTCTGTGGAGGGTAGAGGGTGCACCCTGGTGTCTGAGGAGGCTGGGGAGACTGCTAAGCAGTCCTTTCTGCGCTGCTGCTAAGCCCTGCCACCTTCTTAGGCTGCACGCTCCATGGTTGTTTCCTGTGTCCTGAGGGCTGGACGTGTCCTTGGGAGGGCTGCTGGCCCACAGCTTGTCCTGCTTTCTGTGCAGAACCCTGAAGGCCGCACGCACAGTAGGTCTCTCATCTTCCTGCTAGGGAGGGGGAGCAGCCGCTGAGCGAAAGAGCTGCAGGGGTGGTTAAAACAAAAGCCTGTGACCACCAGCCTTGCTTCTAGGAGGGACAGGGAGCAGGAAGTGACAAGACCCAGTTACAGTGTCACCGCTGTCCCTCCTCACCTAGGACATCTGTGATGCCCTGGGAAAACAGCCTTCAAGCAGGCCCTGCCATTGTGTCCCTTCTTGGCTGGAGTTGCCCTGGCAACAGCGTGATGTGGTGGGCACAGCCTGCAGTGGCTCCTGGAACTGTCCTTCGGCCTGACTTCATCAGTGTGTGCGTGGGGGCTTAGGACAAGTGTCCATTGGAAGGGCGCACAACTCCAGGTGAGGGGCGTCCCTTGAGACTGCAGGGCCCATAAGTCCAGAGTGGTGGGTGGGGCAGGGCCACTGCCCTTAAGGGACAGAGGTGACCAGAACCAAGGAGATGCCTGCTGGTCCCCCTTCAAGAAAGTAAGAGCAGGAGGCCCCCATAAAACTCAGCACGAGAGCTTGCTGGGCCGCAGGGCTCCAGGCTTAGTTCCTTGGAGGACATACGGAGCTGGGTGCTGCAGGTGAGCCAGGGCTTCTTCCTCCCTGGCACAGCCCGGATATTGCAGCACAGGTGCGTGTGAGCCAGCACGGATGTCCCAGTCCCCATGGACAATGTTGCATGAGTGATACTTGTGTCATGGGCTGCATCTTGGCACCCACTGGGAGCAGAGCCCAGACCCATGTGTCGCTTTAGAGGAAGATGGGCTGAGCGCCATGCCTGCCACGGAGTGGAGAAGCGAGGTGGCAGTGGCTCCAGGCAGGTCCCCTGAGGAGCAACCCAGCAGCCAGGCGGAAATTAGCTTGCAGGAGCTTGGGGCTGCACAGTTCGGGTGCCGCAGAGGTCACTGGGTTCAGGAACCACACTCCCACCCTGTCATCCGTCCCACCACCGCTGTTTAAATTAGAAAGAAAATGACCTTCAGTTGAGGTTTGCTGTCCCTTTGTTCTGAGAGGGACACAGCAGTGGCACTACCTTCGTGGTCTTGTGCCCTACTGGGGTCTGGTGTGAGCTGGGTGGAGGTGGAGTCCCTCCGCAGAGGGCGCCACCACCCAAAGGACATCTTCCACCTACTCCGTGGTGGTTATGAAAAGCTAAAGTAACATCTTATAAACTGCTAGAAGTTTTCCTAGTGGCTTACAGCTGGAGTACTGCTGACAGAGCCAACAGGCCACGGGCCACGTAGCCACCATGGGGCAGATGCGTGGAAAGCACAGTGCTGCGTCCCTGCCCTCTCGCAAGCCGGACAGTGAGCGTCTGTGACAAGCTACAGAAATCCCTTCTTTCTTCGATTCTTCACATGCTTCTTTTCAGAGATAAAGCCAGTGCAGCGTGTCAGAGTTCAGCACCACCTGGTTCACTTACTGCCCCTTGTGTTGGGGCCCCTCTGCCAGGGCCTGGGGGTCTTCCTATGTCTCAGGAATGCTGGCACAGAGTCATCTCTCTTGCTGGGAAAACAAGCAGGGTGGAATTTGCTGTTAGAGAGAGGTCAGCTGTGTCCGTGTGCTAAGCCTTCCATAGGGCTGCATGTTCAGTTTGGCTTAGGCTGGGTCCGCTGAGCCCTGCCTGCCCGGGCTGGAGGAGGCACCCCGGGTGACAGCCACATGGCAAGCGAGAGAAATCATTTTATCCCCCAATTACATTATTCATGTAATGCTTTCAAGTATTTACCGTTTGTCCTTTTTCCTCCACAGGTTGAAGAGAGACCTGATAAAGAATTTACTGAGAAGGTAAGGCCTTCCTATGCCTCTGTCTTGCACGTTCGTAGACCCCAGGGTCCCAGAGCTCATGGGTGAAACTGGCAAGGAGACAGGGTGCTTTGTGTTAATGGAGTTGTGGTGAGTGGCCAGGGCTGGGGAGTGGCCAGCGTGGTATCGCTTCCCCGACAGGGTCCCTGGAGTCATGAGGCCCAAGCAGAGCTGGCTGTCAGTGCAGGCCAACCCAGGGGTCTCAGCGAGCCTGTCCCTGACGCCCAAGATGCCTGGGTTCTGGCTGTAGTCACGCTGACCCTCACGTGTTCCAGGGCTCCCGCAACATGCCGAGCCTGTCCGCAGCCACGCTGGCCTCGCTTGGGGGCACCTCCTCCCGCAGGGGGAGCGGCGACACCTCCATCTCCATCGACACCGAGGCATCCATGCGGGAAATCAAGGTAAGACACCTCGCTCTCTCGTAGCGTTGTGAAGCCCAGTCCAGTCTCCCAATTTAAAAAGAAAGATACATTTCATTCATTCTTGGCTCCCCTCCAACATGGTGTTCTGGTAACACGGAGGCCCAGCTCAGGCCCACCGCTAAGGGTCTGGTGTGAGCTGTACTTCGTGACCCCAACACCCACTCCCCTAGAGTCAGAGAATAGAAGGAAATCAGAACCCCAAATGCCTCTCCTGATCCCCACGTAATCTTCGGCTTCATTAGAATGTTTCTAGGCCAGGCGGCCCTGGCCCCATTTCTCCTCCAGATCCCTCTCTGCCACAGTAGTTAGCCCTAGTCCCTTCTATCTCACCCTGCCACCTCCCCCTGCCACAGGGTTCCCGGTGTGGCCCTCCTTCACCCCTTGAGCTCATTTGCCTACATCCACAGGATGTGGCTCTGACCTGTCTATGTCCCACTGGGTACATGTTTGTCCCCTCCATGCCCTGTGTACCCTGGGTCCACCAGGGTGACATCATGTCACACTGGCACATGTGTGCTGCTCCGTGTGTACAGTTGGTGTGCGTGTAGTATACTGGACATTGAGCCAAGTACTGGCACGTGGCCTTTTACCATGTGCCCCACCTGAGGGTGCCTTTGCTTCCCATGTGGAATACGCCCTGGGTAGACCTCACCTTTGCATTTGAATGGTTTCTCCTCCCACTGGATGTGGCATTCTCCCATGTCTGTTAGGTCTGCAGCACCAGGCATGTGGTGACATTCTATGTGCAGGAGAGAAACAACACAGACCTGTTTGTTCAAGTAACTAGGACCATTGTACCACAGTGGGGGAAGGAAGGTGACCAGAAGGTCACACCTCCAGAGGGCAGAGCCTAGACAAAGCAGCCTAAGGAGTTTGGGTTTAGCTCCTATGGAAGAACTTCCTTGTCCTCGGAATGATTACAGAGGAAGCCAGCCCGCACTGTTGACATTGGGTGGATGAGTGACATTTGCCCAGGAGCATGGGGGGGAATGTAAGCATCTCTTGGGGGTTGCTTGGGATTTCCTAAAGTGGCTTCCCATGTCCTGTGCTTTATGAGCAATTGAAGCTAGCGGAAGTGTTTTGACTGTTGTTCATAAAATGCCACATGCTGTCCCTGACCATGGCAGCCCCCCCCCCCACTTCTTTGTTTCTCTGGGACCCAAAGTCGAGTCCACTGCAGCCCTGTTTGGTCTCTTATATCAGTGCTGCTGTGCATCTGCCCAGCAAGCACCCGCTGAGTCTGCTCTTGCCATACGCTGTCTGGAACACCAGGATGTTGGTGGTGAAGATGATCTGTGAAGTAGGGTTGGCGCTTTATTTCCCCATCTATGCCCAGCATCTTGCTGTGTTTTACACAGGAATCCCCAGTGCAGAATGGGTTATTAAATGTTCTTTGTGCTGTCTTCTGAGGTACTTCTTTAATAAGCACTTGCCAGCGCAAGGGCCTGAGTTCAATCCCTGGCTCTGCCAAAAAAAAAAAAAAAAAAAAAGAAGAAGAAGAAGTACTTTAAAAAAAAAGCTTGTAGAATTACAAAGTTCCTTGGTATTCAGCTGCCATGAAACTTATTAAGCTTGGTCCTTGATGCATTCTGTTGAGAAAATCTCATCCCAGTTCTTGTCCTCTTGTCCTCGTGCTCAGCTGCCTGCTGACTTGCTACTGTTTCTAGCTGAAACTGTGAGTGTGGTACTTGTCATTCTTGGTGCTTACCTTGCTCTTAGACCCAGTTGAGAATTACCCAGGTACTTCCATGTAGAAGGCGTGCCTAAATTTTGGGAAATTGTATAAAATTATAGGAGTATGCTTACATTTTAGCCTTTAATATTGCAACTTATTTTCTTTTAATGCTTAAAAAAAAAGAGGATGGGTACTACATGATAGAAATGATACAAGGTGTGCGGGGTGCCACTGTATGTAGCTCCGCCCACCAGCGCTTGACCCTGACACCCTTTGCTGTTTGCCGCCTCCCCAGGAGCTCAGTGAGTTAAAGGACCAGATTCAGGATGTTGAAGGCAAATACATGCAGGGACTGAAAGAGATGAAGGTACTGGTGTGTGAAAGTGTGGGCTTGCCATGCTAACCTACCATAGAGTAGGAAAATCCCAGAAAAGGATTTCGAAGTGAGGCTTACTATGCAGGGCCCAGGTGATGGGCCCTGGGGCAGCAGGAGGCCAGCATGGTACAGCCAAGCATGGACGCTATGGCTCCCCAGGAGAAAGATCACTAACAACTTCTGCAATGTGTGTCAAGCTCACTGCCCTCCAGGCTAAAAACCACTGTCTAGATGCACCAAACACTTGGAGAAGGATTTTGGTCCTCTTCACTTTCCATAGTCATTGCATACTAATACACTTTACCTGATTTGCTTTTCAGAACATCTGCTATCATGAGGGTGCCTGCATTGGGGAACATGAATTATTTGCATGGTGTGAGATTTTACTAATTGAGGCAGTATCTATCCAAACGAATGGCATCCTAGATAGGAGTGTGTGCTTGCTCCTGCCCTTATTTTGTTGTGCCAACGGGAAAGAAAAGCCACCCTGTACCTTTGTGGTAAGATGAGAAGTTGCTGTGGAAATGTGGCAGCTGGATCCGCTGGCAGCTGTGGCAGATCTGTCACTTCTCAGGCCCCTAGGAAGTGCCCGGAAGTAGTCTCCACTCAATATCCACAGGCACTGGCCGGGGGACATAAGCTACATGCCCAATCATCATTCTCAAAATTGTCATCTCTATTTAGAAGGGGAAACAGTAAGATGCTAGTTTTCAACTCAGGTCAGAAGGGAGCCACCAAAGCCTCCAGGAGCCCCTGGGCCAGTTTCCCTAGTGTAGTGGTTATCACGTTCACCTCACACAACTGTTGGACCCACCTAAAGTCGTGGCCCTGCACAGCCCGTGGGCTCCCTGCCAGGCCACTCCTGCCACTTTCCTTAGCTCGGGGTGTTTGCACCCGTGACTGCCCCCTGTTCTCCTGGCTTTGCTGTCCTCTCCCAGGGCTGACCTGTGTCGTTGAGGCACCAACCCAGTGAGACCTGTGTTTAGTTTTCCAGTCTGACAGCAATGTGAAATGGCCACCAGCTGCTTCCTGGTTTGTGAGCCAGGACAGGGAGGCAGTGACCTGTGGCAAGGTGTGGCTGTCACCTATCACCCATGCTGCCCCAGACCTTGCCCGTGTGTCAGACACCTGTTGAGCAGCCCTTACCCCACAGGGGAGGCCCCGCTGCTGAGTCATGAGTCCCTGCCCAGCCCTGTGGCCCTCAGTCTCTGACGAATGATTTTGTTCCCAGCGAGAGGACACATTGCTTTCACCCCAGCCCAACTGGAGACTGAGATGAGAATTTGGTTTCCTTGTGAGGGCGATTGCTGTGCAACTGACATTGCGTGAGCTTCCCTTTGTGATGGTGGCTCCCAGCAATATGGTCTCCATTCTCCAAAGGCTGGATTTTCTAAACGGCACGAGATTCATTTTTACTGGGGTTTTCCTAATGCAGTATAAAAACTGTGACCCGTCTGTAGGACTCACTAGCGGAAGTAGAAGAGAAATACAAGAAAGCCATGGTCTCCAATGCCCAGCTCGACAACGAGAAGACCAACTTCATGTACCAGGTGGACACCCTCAAAGACGTGCTGCTGGAGCTGGAGGAAGAGCTGGCCGAGGCCCGGCGGCAGTGCGAGGAGAAGGGAAAGGCAGGTGCCGGGTGCTTTTAGTGTGGGCCTGGGTGTGTGCATGTGTGTGTGTGTGTAACGTCTCCCACTAGCCAAAGAAACTCTAAAGTAAGGATGCCATGGTCTGCCGAGTGATTTGAAATGTCCACATGCAGAATTTCAGCATGTAGCTGAGGACGGTTTTCCTACAGAAACAGTCATATTTTGCATAGAAGGTGAAATCGCAGCCACAGAAGAGCCTGTGTGCTTGGGTATGGCCCACTCAGGCGGTTCAGTTGCTTCCTGGTAACACACGTTATATGTTTTCATCTTTTCACCCCCATGGGCAAATGAGAGTATCACAGATTTTCAGAGGATTATATCCATTCCCTGCTGATCGGGAAAGGATAGTCTCTCCATTTAAGAATTAAGTACAGCAAGCATGTGTGTGCTTGGAATCTCAGCTCTGCGGAGAGTCAGGAGGAGGAGCACCTCGAGTTCAAAGCCAGCTTGGGATACACAGCGAGACCTGGTCTCAAAAAAACAACAAACAAACCAAATACCCTCAGGTTCGGAGAAGGGTCATTCGTATGAACCTTCCTGCAGAACCACTCGGGCTGCTTGACTGTTCATTACGTGACCAGCCCATGCCTGTAGGAGGCACCAGTGGGCAGACAGGTCTGGGAAGCCAGTGCTCAAGGGTTCCCTGTGGGCTAGAGAGCAAAGAGTACTTGTTTTTCCACATTTTTAGATATGGTTGACTTAGCAAAGCCTAACAGTGTCCAGTTCCTTAGAGATTCTGGGAGAACCTTGATACGTGAGTGCCATTTGTCTTCTTTTGTAACTGGCTGTATCTTCAGAATCCCAAGGAGTAAAATGAAAGCCCCATTAAGGACTTAGAGGTCCCCAGTGTGGATACTGAAGACCTGGGCTGGCAGCTGGAGGGGTTTTCCTGCCAGCCAAGGCTCTGAGGAGCCTTGCCTTAGCCTGAGACTGCAGGATGCTGTTGGAATCATCCCAGGTCACCACCCTTCAGGCCTTGTTAGTAGACCCCAGAGCCTGTGCATGCTAAGACGAGCTCCAGGGCAGGGACGGGGCCCAGGCAGCCCAGCAGGAGGGAAGGCTCCTGTCACCTCCAGGAAGGAGCCTGCCATGCAGCTCACTTCCCTTCTGCCATGGTTCACAAGACAGACCTAGGACCAGGCAGGCACTTCTTGTCCTCTAAGCTTTAGCCAAGGGGATTGTGGACTAGACCATTAAGGACTGGGCTTCAGGGACCATGCAAGGCCCCCAGGAGGGCACCTCAGAGGGGAGGGAGGTCAGGGCAGCTCTGACCCCTCCAAGGCCCCCACCAGTCCACACCCTTCTTGTTTGTCCCTGGAGGAAAGCTGACTCCCCAGGCCAGCTACACTGGGCTCCTGCCACCCAGTAAGTGCTCCTTGTCCTGTTTTAAGTCAAGGGTGACTTTGTCACCATATCCTACCCTCAGCACAGCACCTATGACCCCAGAGAGAAGCCCAGGGCCTTGTCTGCGGCACTGGCTCTACCACCTCACCTGGAGGCAGACCCCAAGCCGTCTTCCCCCAGGTGAAGGAGAGTGGCTGCATGCTCTGTGACTATGACTTGTGTGTGGTGACATGGAAGCAGGTCACCTGCCCCAAGGGGTGTGTGACTCTGAGGAACAGGAGCCACATGACATCAGGTACCTTGTCTCTCCACAGGAGTTGGAGCGGGAAAGGCACGCGCACAGTGTCCTGCAGTTCCAGCTGGCCGAGGTGAAGGAGGCACTGCGACAGCGGGATGAGATGCTGGAGGTAAGTGCACCTGCCAGGCTGGCTCCTCCCCGCTTCCTGGTTTTGTTCAGGCTGCTGTGGAGAATCCCACAGATGGGGACTGACACAGAAGTTCATTTGCTCACTGCTCTGCAGATTGGAAGTCCTGTCAGGGTTAGGGTCTCGGGAGCCCCAGTCTGGCCTGGCAGTCATCTCCGCCTTGTCCCCGAGAGGCAGAGGACATGACCTTCTCATAGGGACAAGCACTGTGCCAGGCAGTCGTCCCCCACCCCCCCAGCCTGTTTAGGCCTCACTGATGCCCAAAGGCTCTCTCTCCAAACGCTGTCACTTTGGAGGTCAGGACTTCAGCTTGAAAATTCAGGGGACACAGTGCCATGCCTGGATGACTTGTGTTGTCTGAGCATGCACGTGGACACCCCCCTTGCTCTGACCTGCAGCCTGCTTGGGCAGTGGTCCTGCCTGGGCCTCCTTTCTTCGACACCCATGTCTTCACTCTGGAAGAGGTAAACATGTCATCCATGTGGTGACAGGGCCTTGTAGATACAGTGAAGTCAAGGCCTCCGGAGAATACTTGCTGCATCAGCTGGGTGGGCTTGATGACCTCTCAGGGGTCCCAAGAAGACAAGCTGAGGCTAGAAGTGGGGGCTGTGACAGCAGAAGCAGGCAAGAAAGCCCCAGAAGGTGGGCCAGGTGGGGAAAGTGGGTCTTGCGAGCGTCCCCAGCAAGGACCAAGCCTGCCCACACCTCCCTGTAGCCTCTAAGGCTCACTTTGAACTTCCCCTCTCCAAAGCTAAGAGAACACATCTGTTGGTCAAGCCCCTGAGTTTGTGGCATTTGTTGTAGTGACCACAGGAAACTGATGCAGGCTGCATATCAGTTGTTCAGTCCGCCACTCTACATGTGTGACAGTGGTCCCTGCAGGTGTATGGCCCAGTGACATCACCTACACCCTAGCAGACTCACCCAGGGCCACCTTGCTCAGCCCCTGCTCCCTATGTGAAGCAGCGGGTGCCTTACTCGGTGGCCCCTTTGTCTACCTGCTTACCCAGCACTTCTGACTTCTAGGCAGGATATCTTCCAAGTAGGTTTTCTGCTGTACTTCTGGGCATGAGAGCAGTACAAGGCCAGTGGCCCTCTGTGCATTGGGCTTGGGGTCAGTGAGACAGCATGGTCTTCCTGCCCGCTGGCCTAGCAAGTGTCCAGGTCACCTTGCGTGGTCATTTTCTTCCCGCTTAACCCTTTCTCTGCTTTCTTCCCATCTGCTCCTTTATTTCCTCAGGAAATCCGACAGCTACAGCAGAAACAGGCGAGTTCAATCAGGGAGATAGCTGATCTTCAGGAAACAATAGAGTGGAAAGACAAAAAGATAGGGGTAGGCTTCTTTGCTCTTTGGGAATCTACTCAAGTGGGCAAGCCGTGTGGTGAATGCAGCTGTCATGGTCTTTGCTTGGCAGCAGTGCTTGTGTGGGTGTGCATGCAGCCCAGCGACAGGAAGTTCACACTCATGCACACAGCAGCTCCAGTGGGTCGCGCTGGGCCTAGACTCTCGGCCCCCACCTCTGGCCCTGTAAGGTCCACTGGTGTGGCAGCCTTCTTGGGCTTCCCCATGAGGGAGGTTTGCAGAGGCCCCAAGGTGGTGAGGGCTGTGCCTCGTGTGCCCACAGAGATCTCCACCAGAGGCCTCCTCACGCCCCTCTCCCTCCACAAGCAGAGCCAAAGCAACCCACCTCCATTTAGGAGTGAGGACCGGGCCACAGTCACTGCTGATGCATAAGGACAGGTGCTTCCAATATGGTGACTTATGTGCCCCTTCCTTGGGCCCAGCCGATAGCTGGCTGGGGCAGGCATATCATCACCCTGACCTGGTGGAAGCAACTCTGTGGCTCCCTCTGCTGACAGCCACCCCTGCTGACAGCCACCAGCACCAGGATAGGAGGGGGTGTGTGCACCTTCCCACGCTCCCAAGCCACTTGTGTTAGTGTATGACAACTAATGCCCACAACTAATGTGTAAAAATAGTGTAAAGTGATAAAATGGTGGCCATTTGGGGGTTTCTTTAGCATTCCTTTTTGTTCTTCTTTGTTCTTTTCTTTCTTTTTGAGACAAGGTCCTGCTGTGTAGTCTAGGCTGGCCATGAACCCATTATGTAGCCAGGCTGGCCTCAGACTCACAACACGCTCCTGTGTCAACCTCATGAGTCCTGGAATCACAGACATGCACGACCACACCTGGCTTCTTTTGCCCTTCATTTGCCCATTATTTGCATGGGCGTATCACTCCTGTTAACTCTCCAACACCACCAACTGAAGTAGAGAGTGAGACGGTGAACTCACGTCCTGGGTTGCACAGAACCAAGTGGCTTTGTGTCCTGGGTGGGTCCCGGCGCCCCAGCAAGCTGTCCATGGCTCGTGCTCCATGTGTGTTCCTGTGTCTGCCAGTGCCTTGAACATGGCCTCTGCCCCCTGCCAAGTAACCTCTCCTCTCTGTGATTCTCCTTTCTCTTTGCTCACTGCACTCGAAGGCTTTAGAGAGGCAGAAAGAGTTCTTTGACTCCATAAGGAGCGAACGCGATGACCTTAGAGAAGAAGTAGCGAAGCTGAAAGTGGAATTCAAGGTATGAAGCCAAAGCCCTGGCTGCTGCTAGGACTTCTCCCTTCGTAGGGTAACTGTGAGGGTCACGGCACACAGAGGCTGCCTCAGGGCAGGGCCCCTGGCCCTGGACTGTGGTCAGGCTCAGCTCATCTTGAAAGTAGCCCAAATCCCAGCCCTGAGTTTCTTACAGAGCACCCAAGTTTCTTCCTGCCCTAAGTAGGAAGCGCCCCCAAAAGATTGGCTGGGAATGGATTTGTTCCTTGCGAGCCCTCATGTCCAGGGACTTGTCCAGTTCCTCAGCATCTGGGGTAACAGCAGGGGTGACCCAGGCTGTTAGACCCCCAGATTCTAGGGGTACAGCCCCACATGCAAGGAGACACAGCCTGGGGCACCCTGAGCCCTGCAGCGGGCTGCATTGAGAGGCTCATGGCCCAGGCACAGTCCTCTGTGCTGCAGGGGACATCTCTGCCTTGAAGGCTAGGCCAGAGCAGAGCAGCTGAATGACTACCTACAGTGATAGGAGGCCAGGGAGTGGGGACAGACTCGTAGGCTACTGAATGGACAGCAGGGAGGTCCCAGGGCTGCGCCACGGCAGGTTTTCTTATTTGTGGGCTGTGTCGTCCCCGTGGCCGTGCCAACCATCCCAGCCGCCTCTTGGGTCTTTTCCTGCATTTTATTCCTTCCAGACCCTGTGCATATTTCTTTACCTCTGTCTCCCTCTTCAAAGCGTAAAGCCAGGGCTTTCGTCAACCAGACGCTCTGCTTTGCGACAGCCCTGGGTCCACTGGCCTTGGGCAAGGATGCCCACTGGAAGTGTCTTGTCACTAGCAGTTTGGGTCATGGAGAGGAGCATGGCGGAGGTAGGGCTGGAAGGTGACACCGTTGGAGTTGTTGATAGTTATTTGTAGCTGTGGTGCCCAATACCAGACTCTACCATCTCTTTGGAGTTACCTACTACTTCAGGAAAAATGGTTTCCCTTTTTATGATAATTAATAAAAGTTCAGCCAGATAGCATTATTTCAGTGAGCCTTGTTTTTTCCTCAGAAACATGGGATAATCCTAAGTTCAGAAGCAGCTACCAACGGAGAAGCTGCAGACACACTAAATAGCGTTGGGAGCCCGAGCCCCACCAAGATGACAAGAGAAGAGATAAACGCCCTGAGGTCATCCGGGGACGGGACGCTAGGTAAGGGTTCGGTTTCCTTCTGATCCTGTCACCTTTCTGGTCAGCACTGATCCATCTTCCATGTGTTGTCAGAACTGAAGTCCTTGTCACCACCATTAACAGTCACCCAGCATGCCCTGCTCCATCACGCGGTGGGAAGCTCTTGCCCAATGGTGCGGTCGCTACAGTGCTGCCTGGCACGCCTCTGTCTAGTGCTCACAGCGAGACCTCACGTACACGTTTCTTTGCTTCTCGGGGCTCCCAAGGGGAGTAGTTTTGAGATGAAGCAGCAGTCTGGAGAGTACCTTTTGGCCTTGCTCAGATGTGTGCCGAGCACGGCTTTCTGACTTCTGTGACAGAGCAGTCAGAGCTGGCGTAGGCCAGTTGATGTAGGCCAGTTGCCCAGATGTGCTGGCTAGCTGGTGGGGTAGTGTGCAAGGTACCCCGCCTGTCCAGGGGCTCCTCTTGTGTACACCTCAAGTTTGCTTCTGCAGGAGTGTGAAGTTGGGAGGTCCAGCAGACCATGGAACATGTCACAGTCTGGAGAGATCCACTGGCGAGAATTTGCCTCAGTGGGTTTGGGGGGGACCCTTCTGATTCCCCACGCTGCAGTCCCCCAGAGAGAAGCCCCTGTGTGTCCTGGTGACCACCTGCACTCCAGCTTCTTACAGCAGGACTGGAGCAAGGCAAGGGTCCTGATCCTGCAGCCAGCCCAAAGCATCCACCTGATGGTGTTGTGCAGATGTAGAAACTCCCAGGCCTCAGCCTCTTCACCTTCTCAGCCCTGCTTCACGGGGTGGGGCTCCTCATCTTTATGTGTAATAGGGAACAGCTCTTGTAAATGTGTAAAAGCTGTTGGAAAAAATATCCCCCCTCCCCTGTGCCTTTGTAAGTGACCCCTAAGGTGCTAGGGATTTGATGGAGCTGCTCTTGTCAAAATACACCTTTTGTGGGTCTCATCACCCTCTGAAATGCTGAACGAACCAGAAGCACCAGTTTGGCGAGCGGTTTCCACATGTTTAGACTGTGGAGCCCATCTGTGAAGATGCGTGGGACCGTCCCCCTATGTGTACTTATTTTTAACTTTTGTATACCATTACATTAGCATAAAATGTGCTTCACTCAACATGCAGTAGTAGAAACATTTAAAGGGTGAATGAAGTGCATGAGGGCCGAGGCCTGACATCGCCCCATTGCCCCCAGTCAGCCTCTGAGCCCTGGTGCCCTTGGGCTCTGATGTCACCTGACAAGGCTCTGTTTCTTTGGAGAACCCAGATGTAGCTGTTTGTTCCAGAGTGGCGATGCGCCTTGTCACTGCTGTTGGCCTGAGCAGTCACCCTGGTCTGCAGCACTGTTCCTGCTGGGCTTTTCTCCTTACCCTGCTTAGAGACAGCGAAGTGTTTAGGGCACACCCAGGACACCTCCCCAGCAAGACAGTGTGTGCTGGCGAACACAGATTTCTTTTTGCCTCTGTAAGATACTCCTTTTTCATTGTTGTTTTGAGACAGAATCTCACTATGTCTTTTAGGCTGGCCTTGAATTCACTTACATTGCCTGTGCTAGCCTCAAACTCAGGGCAGTCCTCCTGCCTCAGCCTCCTGAGTGATGGGGTGACAAGCGTGCACCACCACACCCAGCTCTATGAGTTACTCTCAAAGTATCTTCCATGAGACTGACCTCCAGGCCAAGTCTGAACATGAACTGAGTGTTCTTTTCAAAAAGCTATTTGCAAGCAGCTTTTAGGGATGGGTAGCAGCATCCAGATCATGAGGGTCATGGAGCTGGGCTTAGGAAGGAGAATGGGGATGTGGCCCGAAGTCCCTTCTAAAGCACAGTACTTCAGGTTGTTTGGCTGCCTGGTCCAAGCTGTTTCTGTTCGTTAAAACTGAACTTCACCCAGACAGATCAGTCCATACCAGCGGTGCTAGCAGCCACACCTGCCTCTGAGGTGGGGGCAGAACACTAATGCAGTTGCTGCTTTGACGCACGGAGACAGGGGCTTGTGTGTCCTGTGATGCTCTCCCTCTCCCTCTGCCTCTCTAGGAGCAGGGCGGGCGGAGGCAAGCTTGTCTGCATACTAGGTGCTTGTTGCGTCCTGGGTCCCTTCAATCCTCTCGTGGTCTTTTAGGAAGAGCCAAAGAAGTGGAGGTGGAAAAGGAAATTGTGGAGAACATGGGGAAAAAAGAAATCTCGCAGAATGCTGAGCAAGAACAGCACGGAGAGGGTGCGGCCCCGGATGGTGCCGGTGGAGAGGAACCTCAGCCTGGGGACCAGCCAGCCTCTGGAGATGTGGAAAACGCCGAATGCAAGGGGCGAGTTCAGAGCCAAAGTCCAGAGAATCCTGAAACTGCAGGGCAGTTGGGGTCCCAGGAAGTCGCAGCCCTGCTTGCTGAGGAGACTGAGGCCTCCCTGGGGCAGCCCACATGCCCAAAGGATTTCGGTAGAGGAGCCCCAGATCCCATGCCCGGGCAGGACGCTTGCAGTGCTGCAGATATCACAGAGCAAGGTGAAGAATCGGTGAGACGTCAGGACCAAGTGGATGTGGAAGAGATTCAGGGATCTGCGCCCATGCTGGAACCCAAAGCTGGACGGGTGAGCGGTGCAGATCCTGGGGGCTCAGGCAGGGGCCATTCAGAGAAGGAGCTAGAGGCAGGGGCAGCTGCAGTGGGGGCCCCTGGATGTCACCGTGGGAATCGTCTGGCTGACGAGCTGGACTCCAGCACAGGATATAGCTCAGAGAAGGATGTCCCAGAGCAGGAGACAGCCAAGCCTATGGAGGCCTCCACCCAGAGCACAGGAGGCAGGGAGGACGGTGTGGAGGAGGGAGGAGCAGAAACAAAGGATGAGAAACCAGTCCAGACGGAAGCGCAGACCATCCCTGAGGCTCCCACAGCCCAGAACAGCCAAGAAGAAGCCCCAGGCCCGGGGAGGACAGAAGTTGATCATGAACCCAGTGAAGGAAAGAGCAACCACCAAGCAGAGGCATCAGAGTCATCCCAGAAGAAGTCAAAGAATAAGAAAAAGAAAAACAAGAAGAAAAAATCATCCGCTCCTGTAGAAAGCCTCGAAGATGTCAGGAAAGAGCTGACCTATCAGAACGCAGATGGAGGCGAAGTTCAGGAAGAACAGGGGCTATGTGCTGACCAAACGCCAGTGGCAGAAGCACAAGAGGAGGTGACTGAAGAGGCGAGGCACAACTCTGTAGCAGGGTCTGGAAGTGGTGACTGTGCTGGTTTTCCTGAAGCTGAGTTAGATGGAAAACTGGACCAAGAGGAGGAGGACATGAAACCAGAAGACGGGAACGGGAAAGCTGCCAGGGACACCAGGGACGGGCCAGGCAGAACCACTCAGCCAGCCGAAGGTGTTAGCAAAGGCTGCAGAGCTGGAACAGCTGGTGTTGCTCCAGGGGTGGAGCTCACAGGTGGGACCAGGAGCTCCCTGCAGCTAAGCGCAGGCCCCACTGCGGATGTCTGTGAGACAGGAAGTCCTGAGTGGCCAGAGACATCCCAGCAGCAGAGCCAGCTGGTCCTGGAAGCCACAGACAGTGTCAGCCTAGAGAAGGGTGATTTTTCTATTCCCCCCGGAGAGCCTGGGGATTTGGGTTCAGAGAGCAGAGGCCATGGAAAGGAAGGGAGCGAGAAGGGCAAAGGCAAAGAGGACTGTACCATGTCATAAGGTGGGCAGGCGGGCGGGCAGGGCTTAGGAAGGCTCCGGGACTAGGGACCCACACCAAGACGCTGCCACGCTGCCTTGAGACTCAGACTGGAGGCTCAGACTGCTGTGGCGCAGTCACTGCCCGGCTGTCCTGCTCCACACTGGGGACCATTGCTTTTAGGTTCATGTTAAATCATCAGGACTATCGCCCAGATCAGAGTGAAAACACTTTTGTTTCCAGTCTGAGTTCAAAAAGAGCGCATTCCAGGAGTGTCAGTAGTGCCAACCTGCTGTGCATCTTTCTGGCCAGCAGTGACGGACGTCTCCTAGCATTTGCCTGAGGCCAACATGAACATGGACATTCCTGACCAAGTACATCAACCTCTAATGGAGCGACCAAATAGCCTTCTTAGATTTCTGCTTTATGACGATAAGGGATATTTAAACTCATAATATATCTCATTCAAATATATGTACCTTCCTAGCTGATGTTAACATGTATACTGTAACCTGCACGGTGTTTTATTTAAAGGAGATAAATGGTCAAATAGCTTATAGGTCACTGAGTGATAAGATTTGCACCTTTAGGACAGGAATTATCATTTTAGGGATAACAAGTATCTGAAAGCACTAGAGATCTTGTTTGCCTTTACCTCACTGGAGTATTTTATTTCATACTGGTACTTTCGGATCTCATGAGTGATACCTGAATTTATTTTGTAAAAGATTTTGACTTCATACTGATGATGTAGCAAATCCATTTTATACAAAGATTCTCAAAAATATTTTTTGAAGTGTTTTTCTAGAGCCGACATGTTGAAATTGCCTTTCCTACTATAGCATTTCGGTGGGGAAAATCATCAGAATTTCTTTAAAACTTGAAATTGATATTCCTTGTTTGAATGTCTTAATTGTTAGTCAGAAGAGCAATACAAATGTTACTTGTTGTGAAAAGTACTCATTAGTCTATAATTGGATTTTTTAATATATATTTTAAATAGCTGAATCACTTTTGTTATTTTGGTATAACTATTTGTTGTTTCTCAGTATATTGATAGGAAAATTCTTGTTTTGATTTGCTAAAGAAATATATTTTCTATACAAAAGAGCCTTAAAAGTAATTGTAAAATTAAGTAAGGATAAGATATAAGAGAATGCGTATTATGAATACCGGTGACACTTGATGCATCGATGCTGATTTGTATTACTGTTACAAGATGTAATCGAGGGTCGGATGTAGCTCAGCAGTACAGCACCCGCCTGGCAAGTTCAAGGTCCTGAGTCCAATTCCTGGTACCAAAAAGAGATGGAATTGAATGCACAAAGACCAAACCCTCAGTAAAATCTGAGGCAAATCTGTGTTACGGAACTGAAATAAAAGCATTTTATAATTTCACAAGCCTGTGGTTCCCATCTTTGGGCTCCCTGACCTCTGACCCTGGCTCTGTCACAGTGTCCCCTGGCAATGCCATCCCCTCCCATGTGAGCTCCCAAGGAGCCCAGGAAGGGCCACTCCTAAAGCTCTCTCAGTGTCACATGGAGTCCACTGCCCATGCCAGCCCCATTTGGGTGACTGTCACCTTCCAGGCCCGCAGGTGATGAGGGGCTCTGTTCTTGTTTGTTTTAGATGTGCCACAACCTAGTGGGGTCTAAGTATCTGACAGAGGCACAAAAGACCTCAAGCTCCCTCACTGCTGCAGGGCCCTACAGAGGAGGCTGACGGGGGGATGTGTGCTCTCCTTTGGCCTGTGGAAGTAGCAAAAGCAGAGCTCTCCTGGCGACCAGGACTCTCGTAGGGGTCTCCACTGTGCTTACTTCAGTGTGCATTGGGAGGCCACTCTATTCCTACTTCTAGAGGCCCCGTGGGAAGCCATCCAGCAAGCAGTGTCCCCTCTGTTCTCTGCTGTCCCTGTGTGCCCAGTGCCTCCCACCTGTATCACAGTCATTTGCCCACTCCCTCAGGTACTCAGCAAGCCCTTCTGATCCCTTGGTAAGCACTGTGCTGGGAACCCAGAGGCTGGGACCCTGCTGTCGGGTGGTGAGCACATGGCTGAGAAGCAGGAAGGAGCAAGAAAGAAGGAAACAAGGCGTCAGAACAAGTGCACTGTGTCTTGGTCCTTTTGCTTGGTGGTGGTTGTTATTTTGAGTCAGCATCTCACTGGGTAGTTCAGGATGGTCTCGAGCTTGCAGCAGTCCCCCTGCTTCAGCCTCCCAAGTGCTAGGATTACAGACGCGCACTACCACAGGCATCATGTCTTGACCATTTGAGAGCCATCCTGTGACCTATATCAGTTAGGTCACTCCACAACTCTGGATTGTGACAACACTGAAGCCTAATGCAGTAGCCAAGAGTCGCAGGAATGGCGAGCTTAGGTTTCCTCGTGTGAGGTGTGGAGACGTCACTAGGACCTGGGGACGCTACCTCAGGGCCAGGAGGGCTGGGGGGGTCCTCTGTCCCACCTGCAGCGCCTTCTGTAAGAGACAACAGCATGCAAGGAGCAGAGACACGGGACAACAGGGAAGTTGTGTGCGTGTGTGGGGGGTGTGTGTGTGTGTGTGTGTGTGTGTGTGTGAGATCAGAATACCTGGGGAGTGGTGTGACAATGGTGTGCATATAGAAAACTTTGCTTTTTGGGAGACAGACCCTTGTCCTGTGTGTCCTTCCCCTTGTACTACCCCTCCTATTTTTTAAATAACTTCACCAATGAACAAGTTGCATGACAAGACACGCTTTCCGTACAGTGTATGTTTCTAATTCTCGCTTTCACCGGGCTGTGTTTGGAGCACGTGACGGCCCGCTCCTCCTGGGGCCCTGGTGCTGGGACATCGTGCACTGCATTCTCCAGGAGTCCCCTCCCCTGCTGCCCTCCTTCTGCCCCAGGAGTCTCGCAGCTGAAAGGGCTGGTGGCTGATGTAAGTCCCATCTCACCACCGCTGACCTGGGGAGGACAAGCTGACTGGGGATGCCTGTGGCCTCCCAGGACGCCCTTGCATCCTGGGGCCTCTGCAAGCTGAGTGAAAATCTACCTCGGAAATGCGTGGTTCAGAGCAAGCCTGCATCTCACTGAGATGGGCACAGCTGCCTTTTAGGCTTGTGGGGGAGGTCCAGCTCAGGGAGGGCAGTTCTGACTGAGGGGGCATCGCTCTTGAGTGCCCCTGCACAGTCGCACTAGCGGGGCACAAGTGGAAAGTACAGAGGGATAGAGCCTCCCAGCACCATGGAGTATGGCCCTTCCACACATTTCCCAGAAGACCAGCATTTTCTGTTTACCGTTCTGTGGATCTCTAAATCACATACCAGAAAGTTTGCTGAAAATTAAGTTATAAGAAGACAGATTTTTAAGCATTACTAGAATACCTTCACTAGCCAACTGATACTAATTTCTCAGTATAAAAGAAAGCCTGCGTATAAATTGGGTGTTTACTGCTCCTGTTAAGTGTCCCACAGTAGCGACATGACCCTGATAACCCACAGTTAGACTCTCTGATGTTTTTTGGGTGTGTCTTTTTGAGGCAGGTTCTTGCTTTGCACGTCAGGCAGGCCTTGAGCTCACTTTGTAGCCCAGGCTGGTCTTGCACTCATAGCAGTCCTCCTGCCTCGGCCTCGAGAGTGCTGGGATTACAGCCAAGCACCACCACATCCAGTTTGACTCTCAATCTTTTTTTTTTTTTAATGCAGAACCATGGGTTGAACTCAGGCCCTTGCGCTTGTCAGGCAAGCGCTTATTCTATTGAGCCATCTCCCTAGCCCTTGACTGTAATCTTAAAAGCTACGAAAAGCAGTATTCTTTCTTTTTCTGTATCAAATAATTTGCTTCTGTCTTGTTTTCCATTTTCTTAAAGCTAGCTTGTTTTCCTCTCCAAGCGTTTTATTTTTTAACTCATTATTAACTTTATTAAAAATCAATAATTATGTAATCCAGTTGTTTTAACATTTATCTTCTTTATAGTTCCACTTCTCCCTAGTTTTTCATATTCTTACCATAAGACTGTTGGTCAGATTTTTTTTTTTCACTAGCTCTGCTATTATATTTTAACATTTATTTTCTTTAACATTTATTTTCTATTATTTTCCTAGCGTATTTGAGGTCTCCTAAAAGAAAAAAATGAGGTTACAGTAGCTGGAGAAGTGAGCTTCAGGCCTGTTCTGATGTATTAAGGGTCTCTTCCGATGCCCAGCATTTTTGCAGATAGGAGTGCAAAATATAAAGCGTTCAAAGTGATCCTGGATAAGAGAGCTGGGTTTTCTCTCCCCTCCATCTGGTTTTCACTTCAGTGTTGGGTGGGCTTTCAGAAGTCAAAGCACGCATGCCAATGAAGTGAGAGTCCAAAGGATCATGAACTTACGCTATGCTTTATGACTTTCTGCTCTTTTACTTTGTTATACTGTGCCTTTCAAAATCACAGTGTAGGGTCTATGGAAAAATAATTCAAGAAATCATGTAACTTGGATCAGGATGTGGCTGGATAATTTGTAGAATGAGAACAAGGATGGGTTTCTCTATGAATCATTTTCCTGGTTAATTATGTATGCTCTGAGGAACTTGGACCTTGGAGGTGCCTCAGAAGTCAGCCCTAGGCCAGGAGCTGGGGTGTCTTGGAGGGCGGTATCTGGAGCACAGTGCCCCTGAGGGTGGCTGTGAGGCATGAGGAAGTCACCCACTTCCGACTCCTGCAAAGAGGAGGGGTGCAGTGACAGCACCCTCGGTCCTGACTGGCGCAAAGATGCTGGGACAGTGCCTGCCTATGTGGAGGGCTGTGTGGGGGTGCTTCAGCCTCCCCCTCATTATCATCTTTAATTTGCCTTTAAGCTGGTGTGAAGCCTGCTCAGGCCGTGGTTTCCCCCCAGAATCTGAAGACTGTAGCATTTGGCATCCCCTCTAGCACGGATGCTTATGTGTGAGGTGTGATTGAAAACTATAGTGAATGCTTGATTTTTTTAATGCGTTACAGTAACTCAGGTGCCACAAATCCCCTTGAAAATCTTCCCCCTTGCTGCAAACATTTATCCCACCATTGCAACTTCCTGAAGCAGCTCCAGAGTCCTCTTTCCTGGACATCTTTAGTTGCCCTGTCCTGGCTGCCTCTGTGTCCTGAGTTGATTCAAAACTTCCCTTCCAAGGTCATTTGGGTGCTGAGGAAGAGCCAGCAGTAGCCTGGTGTCATATGGGTGAATAAGGTGGATGAGGACACCGATGTTTTTAGGAGCCGGCCTTTCCCTGAACGGCTCTCGGCAGCAGCATTCGCTGCATTTGTTGTCCTGCCTCGTGAAGACACTCGGCAAGGAGGACTCGCAGGACTGCCTCGGAAAGTGAAGTGATCAGAACGGCGGGATGGGTGTGCTCAGCGTGTATTCTGAGGGAGATTAATGGCAGTGTAGCTTTCACTGTATTGCTTTAGTGTAAACATCCACTGATACTTGATCACCGTGTGTCTGCACCCTTCTGTGCCTGGTGGGAGGAGCTGCAGAAGACAGCGGCCACTGTGCCTGTCTGTACAAGAGCGGCAGCTTTGGGTGACTGGGCTAGGCAGATGTGGAGCCCACAGAACTGTGGCTTGTAGACACATGGCAAAACTCGACACCAAGTCTGTGAGAAAATGAGAAAGATGAGCACGCCCAGAAAATCAACTCAGAAAGGAAGGCTGTTTAAATATTGGTGCTAGCCAGGCATGGTGGCACAGGGTGAGGCAGGAAGATCACAAGTTTGGGCCCAGCCCCAGGCTAGGGTGGGAGCTCAGTTCCAGGCACTGGGTAAAATCCCCAGTGCTGCAATAGGCCAAAAGAAAAGGCAGGCGCGCCTGCATCCTGGTTCTCCATGTGATCATGTGTGGCTAACGCTGTTAAACTGTGAAGCCTGTGAGCTCTTGTGTTGCAGCGTGGCTTGCCTAGCGTTCTTGCATGCTAACTAGTAGAAGAGTAGCTGTCTGCATGAGCTGGAAGCTGCTCCGAGGAAGCGCGCGGGGGAGGCTGGCGCCACCCACTGGCTGAGTCCTCCGTCCTGTCTGTGGCCTCATTCACCATGGTACGTGTGTAACTGCCTTCATCATCCATCCACTAATCCCGACAGGCCTCCCTGGTTAGCGCTGAGCTGACCATGCCACACGCAGATCCACCCGAACCTATGTTTTTCTCATTTCTTCAGATACTAGGTTGAAAAAGCTGATCGATGAACGGGAGTGCTTATTGGAACAGGTAACTATTTGTATTACTTTTGAGTTCTTTTGGGGGGTGGGTTTCACTATGTATCCAGACTGGCCTTAAGCTGTGTAGCCCAGGCTGGCCTTGAACGTACAGCAATCCTCCTGCTTCAGCCTCCTAAGTGCTAGGATTGCAGCTGCTTGACCACATCCAGCTTTTCTGAGTCCTTGAAAGGACACCTGAAACAGTGGGGTTTT